CCGCGTCTGTGTTTCTGGACAGATCCGAGCCGCTCTTTAAACTCTTATTAATGAGCCGCGCAAGTGTCGCACGCAACGCGCCGATTAAGGCCCAGTTAACAGGGCTCGAAGGTGGCGACCGACCGTGTCCATGTCCGATGTCCAAGATCCCAGTCCATGTCCATATCCATGCACTCAAAAAAATGGGGAGCTTGAATTGAGAAGTTCAATATTATTTTTAGGCAAATTATCTTTCCAAGTTTACGCACTGCTTAGTAGAAACTTGTACTATTATGTAGATAAACGATGGATTGGAAATCACATTTGAAAATCAGATTGGCCGAGTGTATTAGCGGGATTAGTGGGATTAAAGTGCAGTCAATCCGACGCTTTTATCGCCCTAATGGACGTGGACCCAGATGCCCCATCCGTGGACCGCCTCCGTGTGACAACTGGGAACTTGCTGTTTCAATTAAGGCTGCCCATAAACTCGGCCCCTTTCTCGAGCGATGCCTGTTATCTGCGGGGCATGTCACTCGCCTCGATTTTGTTTTCCACTAAATAAAGACATTAAAAGGGCCGTCGGGTTCTGTTTTCGTGTCCCCTTGTTTCGTTTACGGATTTCGGGCCGGGCTTAGCTGCTGGGATTTATTAGGGACCACCTTTGTGGACTGTGGCTTAACACTTTTTAATTTCACTTGCCACACGGGGCAATCAATCTTGGCCCGGGATCGCGAAGTTATGAGCCTGAGAAATGGTCACCGACCGGGTCATAAACCATCATTAACAAGGCAGCTGCTCCTCCGGCGCTTCGGCGCTGTTCATAGCCGGGGATTTCGGACATGGACATCGACATGGACCTGGACATTGGGATGCAGTTTTTGTGGGCGACCGCAACAAGTTCCATTGAATCAGCTGCCGGGCGGGAAAAGTGTTGACATCCCAAACTTCTTGTGGGGTCTCGGCCAAAAGATTCGGAGGTGGGGAGCAGGTGGACCCCTTCTCGATTTTTGGGAATTATGTTTGGTTTATTGCAAGTTTTTGTTTTTCTTTGTTGCCTCACTGGGCCAGAGATCGAGAAAGAGATTCGGGGGAATTCGTCACGGAATGCTGGCAACTGAGCTTTCTGCTCTATTTTCTTGTTGTTTACTTTTCTTTAGTTTTCCTCGCAGTTAGATTTAAACCGATTAGACAGTTCTCCCTCCCTGGGGGTTCCTCCATTATCTGGGAATGGAACAGGGGATTTGGAAATTGTTCCCTTCGTACACTTGCCACAAATAAACTCTTACTTCTGTAAACCTCATTTTTTTTTTCTAGATAATTGTACAGCTCATCCAACTGCAAGCTTTATCAACTTCGCTACTAATATCCCAATTAACGTTCAAACATTTAACCCGAAACCCAGCGACGTGTTGCAATGCCCCAACTTCAGTGCTCTGTTGACTTCTCTGTGGGTTTCTTAACCTCTATCATATCGTAATCTTGGCTATCCAGACACCAACAACGAAACTCGCCAAACGAGCGAATCAAGCACATTTTCATGAATGAACGTCGAACGAACGTCTCGCTGAATGAAATTTCGATTTCCACAACTCCTACACCACAATGCCGATCAGAAGGGGCATTTGGCGGGGGCAACTGAGTGCCAACCTACTCGCGCATGCAAAACACGATTTACTATTAAGGCAAAATGCGCAGACGGAAAAAAATGAAAAAGGGGGATCGCAGGGGAACCAGAAGCCAGACAACAAACAACTTTAGACGTCGCATAGAAGAAATTGAATGGAGCGGAGCTGAATGGAGGAGTTCCATGGGTCTGGAGTCCGAGGCCCGGAGGAGTTTAGACTCCAACTCCATTCATAAATGGCCTGGCAAGCGGGTTTTGGCAACGTGCTCTTCGCCGGATGACTCATCTTCACTGGCTGGGATGGCTGAGATGGCTGGGCTGGCTGGGCTGGCTGGTTTGGCTGGCAATGGGGCACGTGATGCCATCGTCGAGGTGTGTCAATTAGCAGTTAGTTGTTGCAGTTGAAGAGGCGGTCACCGGAGGAGCAGAAGGATGGGGCATGCGGCGCTGGATGAGCATGAGGAGTTGGTAATCGCTGGTGGCTTGAGTCCAGGGCGTGACTCATCTCGTCATGGGAGCTGTTCCCAAGGTGGTGCGATGCTGGTTCAAGATGTTAGATATTAGCTAAACAAATTAGCCGACAGTACGGCAGTCAGATGTTTAAAACTTTTTAAAATCACTAGTTCGGTGCGGAACTCGAGACTAACGCCTTTGCCAGTTCATGAATGAAGCAATTGCCAACTGGTTTTGCAGCGCCGCTTCCTGCGCCCTAGACTCGAGACTCGGATTCGGATTCGAGACCGAAGGCGAGACTTGGAGCCAGACGGCGACTGGAAGTGTGCACCCACATGATCCGTCCACGACTACTTAAATGCTGTGTATCCACATCCGCTGGCTTCTCTATTAAATGCTAAACGCGGAAGAGGGCGGCACTCGCATTCCCCCCAAGTTCCTGTCCCCCGATCACATCCACAATCAACTCACGTGCTGGGCGGGATTCTCCGCGTGTGGATTCAGTTTTGGTTGGGCTTTCGAATCCGAGCTCTGGGTTTGGCATTGTCGGCTCGCTTTGTGGCGCCCACAGCCGCGTGCCGCTTTGATTAATTATGCGGTGCAATGTGGCCACCTACTCCTACTCCTCCTCCTCCTCCTCATCCTCATCCTCCTACCCACCCGATGAATGGTTAACTGTCATTGTTCTGGCATATTTGTTGGGCTTATTCGGCCGTAACTGGCTGTAACAGACAACAATTGACCCAATTCTGACGACATCGGGATTATCTGGACATGGCGCGATGATTTTTCATGTCCATCGAACCACGGTTCGCTGTAATCAGTGAATTGAAGGGTGTTATTACCTTTTATGGTTTTTTAATTTATCAGTATTGCTAAGAACTATAAAGCCTCAAAAAGTTGATTATTGATTCATCGTTTTGTGTCGTGTTTGGGTTTCAGTATGGTTTCATTATTGAAAGTCTCTTACTTGAATATGGTTTTCTTCTTAGCTTCACCATTGGCTACAATCCGTCGAATTTCTGAACTTTCCACTTAGTCTGCCCAGCTGAACTTCCTCCTTGGCTGCTTGCAACTTCATTCTATTTTCTTACAATTTTCCCGCTGCAAATTTCGCTCGAAAGTTGCCACAAAGTGGCGAAAACCGGAGGCGTAGTGCAAGTTTACTGTCAATTAGGCGGCTGCACGGCTAAAAGTCGGGTTTATTGTGCAGCGACCTTCAAAATAGGAGGCCAAGGAGTTGGATACAGTATATAAGACTCTTAAATCGTTTCGGGAGTTTCGTGGATGGCGGAGATATATATTTTCCAGATAGAATTTCCCATTTATGAAGGCTGAAAGTTATGCCTGGCTAAACGCACAGTTTTGGACCTCATCCCTCGGCAGGTGGGATTCCTGTGCCCAAAAATGAGCCAAGGGAGCGGGGGTAGCCATGGATACACGGAGCACGAGCTGGAGCGCCACAGCAGCTGCCGCTAAATGGACAGCGGCTAATTCCCCGTCAGCCTGGCAAATGCCAAAATGGCAAAATGGCAACAATGGACGCGCACAGGGTGAAGGTCAGATTTCGGACAATCAAACAATGGACAAAAGGAATCGTTTTGAATATGAAATGAGATGAGATTGGCACACAACGGCCGGCCGACAAATGGTAGTTGCCTTGACTGACCGTAGGTGGACTCCAATTACCCTGCGGCAGCTGGAATCTCCTCTGCCCGGATTCGGGTTCATAATCGGAGTGGCAATCTCCTCGATCTCGATTGATCTTTCAATCAATGGCAGCTGCCTCGTCCGTCTACTTGGAGTGCGCCAATTTTCCATCTCGAACGTCAATATTTGCGTGGACTTTGGACGGATTTGATATTCCAGGAAAGCCCAGCTCTTTGGCTCTTTGAGGGGTAGACTAATGCGTGCCCTGTAGTTTCAGTCTATTTATCTCATTTCGGGTCTTTACTGTAAGCGTACAGGGTACGTCCTTTGTTTTTATTCCCTCCAATATTCCCACTTAACCACTGGAGGATCAGGCACGTTATCGCCAGCTTTTTATCGTGCCACCGCCCAAAAGGAGCCGCGTCATCAGCGCAGATTGAAATAATTCAGAGTTGCCAACTTGCCAAGTCATCCCGAATTGGTCAGCGGTCGGGGCCTCTGATCTCTGGGCATATACTCGTATATACATGTATATATTTGTGGGGAGGAGCGGAGATCGCGTGCGATAGGCAACGTCAATATTTGTGTTTATTTCTGGCTCGGATCGGAACGGATCCGATGCGAATGGGAATGGGAATGGGCATGATTATGAGGTCCTTGTTAGTCAGTCCGTTTCAATTGGCGGCGCTTTCGCTTTGAGGTCGAGCAAGTGGCTGCCCAATTTGCTCAGTGTTTGTGTATCGTTCTGTGGGCCTGGCTAATTGTTTTGTGCCCTCAAAGATCGGCTACCTGACCTGATCTCGATCTAAGTATGGGAATCTCGGCGGCTTTATTTGCCCCGGATTTCATTATTTTGCGGTGCATGTGGGAAAACTGCAAGCAGGTTAGAAATTTAACAAGTTTTTCTTGGGCTGCACAAATTATTTCGAGTTTACTGGAAAATTACACTCACAGCAAATTAGATGTTGACATCCTGTTTAGTCGTAACATTCATTTATTTGTGTCCCAAAAAATGCCAAAAAATTGAATTTATTTGCCAAAAAAACACGTACATGATTTTGAAGTCCCTTAATTTTTTGAATTGCTTGCAGCCCTGAGATATCCTTAATTTTGCATAGCTTGTTTCTAGTTAGTGGTTCATTGGTTCATGGTTCGTTTTCTGTCAAAGTTTTTGGCTTTGCAAAGTTGGCAGCACCAAGTTAACAATTTCCGCATCCGTATGCCACGCGAACTTCCTGATATTGGTATATTTCCACTGCTTTAATTTGTCAAACCCCTTAAGTGCCTGAAAATGAGTTGTATATCTATTGAAATCGATGAAAATACCTCGCAAGCTGCTGATCAGATGGATTTTGAGGCACGGTAAGTCGAAAGTCGATTTCAGCTGCAAGTCATTGAGATGAAAAATTTAGCAATGCCCAAAATGATGTGGACCAAGTCAGTGATGATGAGCAAGTCGGTGTTGATGACCAGGTCTGCGAGGATGACCAAATTTGTGGGGAAGACCAAGTCTGTGAAGATGGGCAAGTCGGTGTTGCTGCCAAGGAGCACGTTATGAATAAGACGTTGCTGCAAATGGTCCTCTCCAAAAAACAAGTGCATTTGGTTAGTGACTACGTGAGCCCTTCAAATATCCGAATTACAATATTCCCTTTCCAGAGTTTGGCCAAACGTTGGGTGGAATTTTATTTGGAGAGCCCCACTGCAGCCTTGGTGTCTCTGTTGCAGTTTGTGGTGGAGGCCAGTGGAAGTCAGTACCGGATTCCAGAGGATACTTCAATGCCATTCGTGTACAGTGACATCCTCACCCACAGCTCATTATATTTTCCCAATGTAAGTGCGGTATATCCACTTTATGAGGATTCCATTTTCACCTGACCCACTTTCAGACCTGCATATATCCACTGATTAGGAAGCCCGCCGACGTCTTTGTGCACCAGGTGGACACCTTTTTGAAAGCTCTGCTGCTGGTCGCCAATGAAATTCCTGCAGACAAATACAACATATTTCTGACCGAGATGACGAGTTTCGTGTTGGCCTGCTCGGAGTCTAGTACTCGTACTTTTCGCCATACCGGCACCATGATAGGTGAGACTCCAAAACTAATGTATATTTTAATATACAAACTTAACTTGCAAATAATACAATTTCTCAATTTTCTAGGCCTGAAGATAATGACCATATTGAGCGATCTAAAATCCTTAGACGATGAAACGGTGAAGTCCTTGTGGATGTGGATGTTCAAAAGCATGTTTGAAGTTCGTCGCCAGGACATTGTGAACGATATACGGCTCCTCTGTCTTTCCGAACTTGGCCAGTGGTTCTCCAGATACCCCCATTGCTATCTTCAGCCATCCTGTCTCCGAATTTTCTACGAATCTTTGAATGATGCCTCGGGTGAAGTGAGGCAGTGCAGCTTGGACAATATTTCAATTCTGGGCCGCAAGGATGAGCTTCTGCCGCAGCGTGTGGCATTGGCCACTGAATTTCGGGAGATCTTGCTTGAACTTTGCGTGGCCAAGGAGGATGAGATATCTGAGAAATCCTTGCGTCTCCTTACCGATTTCTATCAACTTGCCCCCGAAATTCTGAGTGGTGGCGCTGGCCAGCTGCTGGAGCAACTAATTATGGCCGCAAATCGTGGATTGGCTCAGGCAGCCGCCGATCTTTTCATTCTGCGTAGAAACGGCTTGGATGGAGAATCCTTTTCCCAAAGAATAATTCATCTGCTGCAGTTCTTCGTTGATAGTGAACACGAACAGGCTGACTATTTTGTGGATTCCTTGTTCGACAACTGCGAAATGATTCTGGACTGGGAGCCCATGATAGCAGTGCTAATGGAGAATCCCAGATGCCATCAACAAAGCGATATTTATTGCTCCTCATTGATTGCAATCCTCTTAGCAGGAGTTAAGCAAGCCACCACTGGCGAGATACCTCCGGGCAGATATACCAAGGATCTGAAACGAGAGCCAAAGAAGGGCGCCCAAAAAAGGGCCACTATGTTACTGGCACCCGTTCTGCCCGAACTCCTTCGAACGTACGCAAACCGTTTAGGAGATATAGAGCGACTCCTCGAACTTCCGAAATACTTCTGCTTTGATTACTATCGTGCGGGGAATAAGATGGGACAGCTTTTGAGATTGTTCGATCAATTTGACACCATACTGTTCGATCAGACAAGCATCACTTTGCTGCAAACCGGAGCGGAAACTCTGGAGTTTATGAACCGCATGGTTCCAAACTCGCACACCAAGTCGTTCCTCAACAGCGCGATAACCAACTACAAGATGGCCTGGCAAAGGATGCTCGTCCCAAACTCAGCGCAATCTCCGCAAAATTTGTCCACCCGACTGCTGGTCAGTCTGAGATTGCTTACAGTCCTTAGTGGGCATTTCAATCTTACTGAATGGCAGTTGACGGAGCCGCTGCTCGTCAGCCTGAAAAGGTTAGTTCGGGAGCGCAGGATGCCGGACGGAGATGACCTTCCGCCGGAGGCATTGTCGCTCTATCTGAAGGCAAGCTTTTGCTGCTTAGTCTGGAACATGGAACACTTGAAGGATACGTCCTTTAATAACTTGAGCATGGATGAGTATTGCGCTGACCTAAGGCAGAACCTAGAAGACTACCTTTTTGTGACCTTTTCCCTGGTTGGCAATGGAAACATCGAACCACTGGCATATCCTGTGAGTAAACGTTGATTATCGCCCACTGATTTGCTAAATGTTTGCTTGTTTACTTCCAGAGCTTTGCATATACATGCGATCTGTTTGTGCTATTTGGAAACCTCTGTGGCAGTTCGAATCCCTCGATACGTTCAGTTGCGCACGTACCGTCTGGTACTGAGGTTGACATTCTAGAGGGCTTCCTCATGGATAACTTGCTTGAGCTAAGTCCTTCGGATCTCATGAAGGAAGCCAACCGTGAAGAGCTGCAGAGGATTCGTTCCATCCTAACCAGCTACTTGAAACTGGTGTGCCTCGGTGTTATGCCCTCCATGAGAGCCTCAAAGATCTATAAGTATTACGTAAAGGTCGGCAAGTAGGAGTAGACACTTTAAAAGGGCTCTCATTGAAGTTAACTACCATTTGCAGTACCACGCTCCCTTTGGCGACATTATGAGATGCTCCATGGAACTCGCACTGCAGATGAATCCGGTTCACTTCGCAATGACCTTGTTGCACACATGCTTGCTACTTTTCGTGAATATCTTCGCTGATGGTAACCCAGCTGGACAATTGACCTTAAGGTCAGCTGAGTTCTCCGAGCTAATAGAGCTGGCCCATCGTTTGGCTAAACTACTGATTTCCAATCCCATGGGCTATCGCGAGTGTGTGATCGTTTTTCACAGATCTGGCATAATGTTCGTCTTTGAAGCGATTCAGAAGAAACCTACGGTGGTATCAAAAAAATTGCCCTTCTTGCGGGTGCTCAAGGTTTTTGTGCCGCTGCTTTTGGTTCAGGACAAGATAGGCATTTTAACGTATTTCGAGCACTTTGAGCAGGTGGTAATACCTACATGCAGTACGACGGATATGAAATATTTAAAGGATTACCGAACTGCCTTGAGTCCTCGAAAAACCAATCGCTATTCTCAGGCAACTTAAATCTATAGGTCTATGTATATATGCATAACTCAACTCTGTTGGTCAACTCTGTTTAAACGAGGTTTTAGAGATTTTTAGTGCATTTTTTTATTGGTGTTATTAGAGCTTACCTCTGAGCTCACATATGTACATTTGCAATTGCGTGTTCATCTTGTTAGCCGTTTTCCAAATGTGTTTGCGTGCAATGGGTAAACCCATCTCAGTTTCGCCGGCAGCATTTGGCAAAGCTTTTCCTGCTGCAGTGCCACCTTTCCTTCAAATGGCCACAAAAGGTTGCGTAATAACGAACAGTATCTTGTATCTGCAGGCTGCATTCATTCGGCAGCTGTGGTATCGAATTTCCAAGTCCCATTCAATTCGAAGCCAAGGCAGCTCGGCAATTTTCAATTTCAATGCCCGCTCGCTGACAAAAATTGACTCGCAACCTTGTGGGTTCTCCTGGTACTCCGGGTGCTCATGTCAAAGGCTGCACGAGCTAACACGGCCTTTGACACCCCGAAATGGAGATGGAGGGCAGGGAATCGAATCCCTCAAGGCGCTCAAGGTGGGCGCTAAAATTTTTGGAAACGAAACTAAACGCAGTGAAATTCAAGTGGATATTGGGTCACTTCTGGTTTTGGGTTCTCAAGTGCTGACCATTTGTCCATTTCCTTGGCACATGCCAAGTGGTCGCCGAGTATCCGATTTCGGGTTTTGGAAACCTACAAACTCCCATCTAGAAATGAGTACTTTGCAGGTTCCACTTCGCCCAGCTGTGGGAGATGCTCGGCGAAACATTCCTGGCCATCAAGCACACGGTGGCAGGATCGCTGGGGAGCAACATCTGGTCATACTGATCTTAATTGGAACATCTCCTCGAGGAGGGCACACTTTGGATGTTTCTCGCCCGTGCGCTGAGAGAAATCCTATGCAAATCATCGCAACTGAAGAAAGCTGTATACAAAATATAGTAAATTTAAATTTAACAAGCTTTGATGTTTTATTGGAACTAAGGGCGCAATGCTTAAGAAGAAACTTCACCAGCGGTTGTCTTAGTAAATATTTTCTCTCAGTGCACCGGACAGGTAGCAGCGAGCGGAGCACAGCAACCTGGCCCATCAATTTCGCGTAACGGACTGCGAGAACCGCTAGGCCATGGCAATTGCATTTCACGGTCCTGCCCCCCATCCCCGGATCTCTGGCCCCAGATCTGTGATCCGCCAACGGAACCTCATCACAGATGTCCTGACGGCCAGATCCGATCGCCCTCGGTTGCGGTTTAACGAGATCTGCGCCCGCCCCCTCGACACCACACGCCTCCAGCGGAGATCTCCCCTAGCCCGATTTTTGGGACCTGATAAACGTAAACGTAAACCCCGCTCCTCGGGCGAAAGTGTAACACAATTTCAGACACGCGCATCTGTCGTTCGTTTTGAGTTTCGGATCTTGAGGAACAGTTGTGGCCGTGGCCGACGAAAAAAATGCACAACTCTTCGCCAATAAGGAGTCCTAAATGGCCAAGAAAGGGGCGACACGTGGCACTTGATTCGTATCACATTTCTGTACTATTTCGGGAGTTTACATTTCGGCAGGGAAGGGTTTCTGTTCGCTTTTTATTTCGTTAACTCCTCTTGCCAACTGTCAACCCATTTGGCCGATATTTATGGCCACTTGCCGTTGGGCATCGCACATTTTTCGGGGGAGTGGCCGTTTGCTGTTGCAACTGTTATTAACATGAATTTATTGCTTGTTTCGGCCTTTTTCGGCTGCGAATTTGAATTTTAGCGTAGAAAGTGTGACCACAGCGCACCTTTAGCGCTATTAGGGCCTAAAAGGGCTGAAAACATGTCTCTTGTTGCAAATGCAACATATGCAACCTAGTTCGTTCCATTTATCATGAAACCTATACCAGCCCCTCCACTTTGCTTGAAAAATGTCCTTTTAATAGACGGCAGTACAACAACATTAACAATATTAACTTAACCAAATCCGTGTTGGCCCCGTCAAGTTGCGTGTAAAAACACAAATTCCCCGATTCATCATCGCGACAGGAGGTCCGCACTCGAAGTCCCTGCGATCCTCGCGGTTCCATTGATAAATGCCAAACGAAATTTGTCGATTGTCAATCAAAGGATCTTGGGTTCGAGGTGATCCCTCGACATCTCGACTCCTGGACTCCTCGACTGACAGCAAACACGCGGTGTTGTCCTTGCTCATTTTTTCCCCTGCCTGGTGGCTGCTGGTTTCTGTTTTTGTTATTGTTGCTGCTGCCTAATGTCTTGGCAAATAAGGAGCGCCGCTCCTGGCGACGACTTCTGCCACGGTAGTCCCATGTCCCACATCCTCCTCTGGATGTCCTGCTCCTGGCAGGCACGGTGTGTGTAAATCAGGCCGCCTGTTTACAAATGTGTCGCCATCGCGTAACTCAATCCTTGCCGCGCTCGGTAACACAGGATGCGCTCGACAGCCGTCGCCGGCTTGGCAAACCAATAAATACCATTTAGATGTTGCCCTTAGGACTCCGTTTCCTACACGGAGAAAAAATTTGCATCTTATCGCTGGAAATTTGTAGAAGCATGAGTGTTTAAGTGACGCATTTGCGAATTTAGCGCACTTTTTAAATGACCAATTATGTTTCAATTATAAATTGCCACATAAGATGATCCTCAGTAATATACTTACTTGTAATGCCGGGTCTTAAAATTATTTTCCGTGCTGCTGCTGTGTCAACAAAGTCATGTGTCTGCACGTCGCCGTCCCTAACATATGTCCTTTGACACACACACAAATCCCCGAAAGGACATAGGTTCCAAGGTGCAGCTGAACTCGCAGGACACGCATAAATTAACGGGCACGGAGTTGCGCTGATTGTAGCTCTAATCCCCGAATCCTGATCCCTGATCCCTGATCCTGATGCCTGCACCTCCTTGGCCCCATTAGCACGCGTTTGCCGCGCACGCGCAGCCACTCAAAAAAAGAAAAGGATAACGAATTTCGAGTTTCGACTCCACTTCGGCGGAATGGGGTACGTACGTAGGCCAATTGCCAGGACCCAGAGACTCCTGGCTCAAGTGCCAGGGTTAAAATTAGTCGTGCCCTGTCAGCAAATCTGATTTACGCGCCAGCTGCTCCTTTTCTCGAATCCTGGCCTGCAATCTGCGCCCAGCTTTACGGGACTGCCTCCTTGACTCAAATTATAATTTTAGTGGCAGTCTAATTAAGCAATTACAAGCGTGTTGCTGAACTGCTCTTAGCGTGTTGATTTATACACAGGAAAGCGGAGGATTAGAGGCTGCGACAGATGTTGAACCCGAAATCTGTACCTTTTCTAGTCTTATAGACATTATTCAACATTGCTGATAGAACTTCCTGATTCTATAGGGCTTATTTAAAAACATCCTGGAAGATGATAACTAAAACTTCCGCTGCTGCAACATTTGAGCGGGAACTCGAGCTCTCCACTCCATTAGGCTTACGAAATACGAATGTCTTCTGGTCTTTCCTAGTCATTGAACTTGACAACCGGACAGTTCAATTAAATGCGATATTTACAACACCTGACACGGACCACAAACTGGACAAATTAGTTGACAGCGCGGCGATGACCACAGATGGTCAGGGGTCAAGTGCGGCTCCTGGGGAGCCCAGATGCACTTCTTGGCAGAGGGAAAGTGAATGGAAATTAATTACCATGCCATCGATATACAAATAATCCATAAAGTCGTAGACACATTTTCCCAGTGGAGCGATCGGATGCATTCTCAACAATTAATCATGCGAAGAGACATAACTTTCGGTGAGATTTTTAATGGCTGCGCCTGCTGTCATCGCGTGGATCGTAAAAACTCCGGTCCGTGGGCCATCAAATAGATTTATTATTGAAAATATTTTGGCTGCTCCTTGATTGTTTTGGGTCCTTGCACAAAGGATGGCACCAGGATGCCGCATTTGCGGATGCCCAAAGCGAATGTTGTGTTAAATTTATTTTTATTGTACTTTGTCGTTTTATGATGAGTTGGCGCATTCCCTTGCCACCGCTTCAATATTGTCTTTACATTTCCCGGGGCATTCAATTTCGATTCGTCGGGGGCCATAAAAGTGCAAATGGTCAAACATTGGGGAGTTTCTGTAGCGTGTAACCAGGAAGCAGCTGTCTTCTCCCCATACAAATCAATAAGTTACAATCAGAACAGAACCAGAAGCTTTTCCACTGCCCAAACATCAACGGACATCTCAAATGCCCGTTTGTAACGCCGACACTCCTGTATACCCTACTAATTAACCCTTGTAGCTCCGCGAGATGGATGACAGGAGTGGGATGGGGCGGAATCTTGGGGCGAGGAGCACATACAACACCTTTACACATAATTAGGGGCCTGTTGACTGCACCCGACAATGGATGTGTGTGTCTATATGGAAGGTAAACACATGTCTACTTTGAGGCACGGCAAGAAATATATGCAAATGTCGGAGATTCAAGTCAAAGTGCAAACTCTATAGTTAGACTGCTCCTTACGCCTAAAAGGAAGTTTTACCTGAAGGATTGACTTTGCCAGTTGTAAAGCATAGAAATCAAAGCTCTCGATTTTTTCCAGTGTGCCATCTCTGGCTATAGCGTCATCTTGGTGCTGCTGCCATTCATTAATCCACATAGAAATGCCAATGGCAGACTGAGATGTTGATGGTGGAGCTGGTGCAGATGGAGATGTAGATGGAGAGGTGATGGTGATGGTGATGGCGATGGTGACCAAAGCGAATGCAAACGAAGGCGGCTGAGGCGGCACAACAACAAAGCGGCCAAGAGGCCTATTAGCCACAATAAAGAGGCAGCCTCACCCCCCTAAATCCCCAATGCCCATACCCCTGGAAATTCTATTATGCAGATGAATGGATATGGGACTATCTGACTGACTGACTGAATGGCTGACTGGCTGACTAGCTGACTGGGTGTTTGTGTGTTTGCCCCGCCAGATGCCATTACAATGTAAACCCAAGAAAAGTTCACTCGGCAGACTTGATGCGGGCATGGATGCGTGGACGT